AGTAGGACTACTGCCCTGGAGATACTTTCACTAAAACAGGGTATTACTTTGTTTCTAAATCTTTCACCACAAAAGATGCAGGTCATCAAATAAAGAGGTACGTTCTATAGAATGAAATATCTGCCAAGGCAAAATTCCTGATGAAATTTTTAGTTTTTAAAAACATTGCTCTCCACCTTCACGGCTAATTGTTTCTATCATAACATCAGCAACTGCATTAATGAATCTACTTACAAATTACCATCTCCCACCAGTTTAAGAACAAAAAGAGATGACTGATCTCTAGATTCTCCACAAAAATCAGTGAAAAATATTTGCTGAATCAAATTATGCTTCTTAACCTTTGATAAGCTTTATCATCTCAAAGCAATGTTTAATCAATTTCCTATGTAAATGTTTTTCAGATGAAAGAACAAGTCCTAGAAGCAAAGTTTAATCTTCCCAGTGAGTCATTAAAAAGAAATTGTTTCTAAGCTTTCATGCTCAGAAATGCCTTTCCTGGGGTCTAAAACAGAAGGTCTCTTAAGCCATTACTTTTTTTTTGCATAGCCTGAAAATTTCAATACAAAAAATAAATTTCAAAACGGCAAATGATAAAATCTTGAAAGTAATTTAAGGAATCTTTAACTAGGACACTTAACACTGAAGGCTAAATGTGATACTTTTTCCTGCACAGTTTTCAAATATAATCTCAAAAAAAAAGAATTACATCCTGTAAAATATTTTTTCCCTATGTTACCTTCCACCAATAAATCAGGTTACACATTTAACCAACATTGACCTATCTCTAGATCCAAACTGTATGATCTCCAGCCATTTCCATGAAGACCCAAAGTGAAATCCTTCCTATTCAGTTTTTTTTTTAAGCCTTTCACTCCTCTTCTACAGTTTCACAAAATAAAGAGTAACTTAGGTCCACAACATTTTGAATGTTTCTTTTGATGAAGACGTGCCGCAAATGAGACTAGCTTTTGTGAACATTATGAATATATTTTAAAATCAAAACCTACACTTCCTATACTTAATTGGTGACAACTTTGGAGCCAAGAACTAGACAGGAAATTTATACCTAAGGATTTTTTAGTACCTAAACTGAAACTAAAAATCCATATAGCTTAGCAAATCACAAATAGAAATTACACAGTTTAAAGTACACATCTTAATTATAAATGTCAGGAGGAAATACATTGTTGGCAATAAGTAAGAAACATGGAGATTTATCCCTTTCAACTACACTTGGACTAAAAGCCTTTCACGACTTAAGGTAGAATGCTGTCCATAATCTTGAGTACGGTGTTTTACCCCAGAGTCCATTTTGTGTTCCTATGATGTTTGCACGCTCCCATTTTCCTTTGCCGGGGGGTCTCACACCCTCCTTTTCCTGTGTCCACCTGTGCTAAGCCATTTGGGGATGATTTGGGACACACGGAACGGCCAATGCATGGAGTCTGGGTCTGAGGCACACTTTGAACCCCATGTCAGGGCTGCTCAAAGACCTTCTCTGTACAACTGCTAATTCTCTGCCCCATTTCAGATAGAATAGACTGAAAAACAAGCTAAAAACATTCCCATACCCTGATTTCCCACCAGCTTAACATATTCTCTCTCTCAGGTTCAGCATAAGACGTCAAACATCAGTACGAGTTCACTGTTTACTTTCTCCAAACCTTTTCTTTGGTGAGGAAGGAGTTTTTTAATTTCTTGCAAAGTTTCTTTGAAGACAGTCGTCATTTTCTCCTAATAATTTTAGCTTCTTCCAGCCTCAAACCTGTGCTAACTCAGAAACTATTTTAGACTTTCCTTATGAAATTAAAAAAGTAAAGTGGATAGGCATGAAAACTGTGACCCTGGTTACAGTTAACACTTTATCAGTCATGTTGATTTGTAAGGATGAAATGATACGGGATTTTTTTTAAAGGTGTTTGGTAGCAAATTTAGAATCATGGGTATAGGTCCTTTTATACACAAAACACAAATTTCAATAGAATGTTCATTTAAATGCTATTACACGTCCAAATATTTTGATTTGGAAGTATAGCACTCATTGATATTATTGCCTAGAAGCAGCCACAATGATTATTTCTAAGCAGAGGCGTATGTCTTAGAAATAACCACACCTATATCGGATGCCTCTATGGGCCCGTGAGTGTGCTACCTTATGTGTGTACAGATACAAATAAAATATAATTATGCCCTGGAATAGAAGCAAATTATGTTTCAGGTATTTTGTCTAATTACACAAAGAAGATGGAACTTTGTATTTTTACATATGATTTTCTAATAAGACAAATCGAACATTTGAATGCTGTGACAATTCTGGCTTAAGAAACTGATCTGTCTTCTACTCTTTCATCCTACACATTTTTTTTAAAAAAAGTCCTACTTTGGAAAGACTGCGTACTATAGGCTTAGGTTCAATTTGCAGTCCATGTTAGAGAAGCCCTTACAATCTAAAATCCAGAGTAAGTAATTAAACTCAGATGTAGGTTGTTTCAGTTGCTTAAATTATTTTTAAGACATAAGGTAACTTGACATTTTAAAGCAATTACAATTTTCCAAAGAAATGCTAGGGTGCTTCACATTCTGCCTGCAAAATGGCAATCACCTAAAGTGTAATTTATTTTATGCCATCAACTACACGATCAACACTGCTGCCAGACAGTTTTTAAAGTCCCTTCAAATAAATTGTCCAATTGAGAGGGGGGCAGAAAGAAAACAAACACACAAAGGAGAAAAGTTATTGAAAAAAAACTGTTTCATCTACCTGGGCCTTAAAAGGAAGCAAAACAACAACAATAACAACAAAAAAAAACAAGCCTTGGCTGGCTTCAGATACATTCATTTAAAAACAACAGGCTGAGTGGGAAAGATGCAGTGAGAGCACGGGTAATTTTAAAAGGCATTGTCCAGAAACTAGAAATGAGGAGAAAACAACCTCAATGCTCTATGATTACCCAAGAACGGGTTTAGCCAGATGAACAAGTCTGCTACCAACCCTCCCCAAGGCATTTGAAAGACTATCAAACAAAACTTTATTCAACTGGATTGCATCGTCTCTCTCCTTAGATGTTGATGCCCACAATGTCTATGATCAGGTTAAAAAAAAAAAAAAAAGTTGAGGCATGGGGCCCACCTTATACCTAGGTCCTCTTTTTAGTTTGTTTTTATTAGTACAAGCATTGTTAAGACAACCCACTATTAAATTTCTTCGCCAGCAGGTCAAGTTCCTAAATCCCAGGTATGAGCACTCAGAGCACTAAACCCTGACAGGGGTTGAAAGGCTATTTAGATATGGTTTGACTACACCCCAGCAATAAGCAGTTGATTGCATCGTTATATGCAATTGGGCTCTTTTATTAGTAGACTTTAACCCCATGAAAAAAACGTGTTCCCTCCTTCCTATCTGTTGTTTCAAGGACTTTCAAAAGAGAAAAAAACAATACTTGAAATGTTTCTAAATTATTTCCACGGCTACTCCAGAAAAGGTTATTTTCCCAGTTCTATATGGAATACTTTCTTGGCACTTGTCACCTGTATTTTGAAAACTTTAGTTTGAAGTTTTTATTACATGCTTAATTCTTCCGTAGGTATTTTAACTATAAAAGTTTTCTCCTTGGGCTGCTTATGTAGGATCTCCTCTTACATAATTAATTTTTCTACATCTAAAAACCTTCCACCAAAACAACCCATTCATTTCACAGACAAATAGGAGATGTCTTTTCTTTAAAAGCAGTTTCTCAAAAGGCCACAGAATCTGCCACATTGTTACTAACGCTACCCCCATTTTAATAAGCAGAATTTATCACTGGGATATCGAGCAAGACTTCCTAGCATGCATACAAAATTTCTGCAACATATTCCTCTCAGGGCTCTATCTCAGCACTGACCTTTGTTCAAAGGCTTTTACTTTTTAATGCAGCATTTAGAGATAACTACTTCATTTATCAAAACTCAATTTCCATAGTAACATCTAGCCTGGGGAGATTCAAGTCCTCACACTAATCCAACCACCCATTCAAAGGAACTGTTGAATACTTTGGTTTCCATAGCAATGATGGAATAATACATTTTGCTAGGTCATTGCTTTTATTAGCAAACTTATTCTTTGAACTTTAGGTAAGGCTGTATTTATGGAGGAAAAAACATAGTTCGCTTTATATAAGTTCTTTCCTTTAGGGCTGTTCTTAAGAAAAATCGCAAATAGTAACCATCTAGATACTTGAAAATACTTAGGAGCCTTTAAAGTATGCTACCTAGCTTCTTCTAAAGATCCATTCTGATATAAAGTTTTTGAATTAAAAAGCTCTTAAAGTGATTGCTGTGGGTTTAAAACAACAGATACTTATAAATTTAAAGGGGCTAACCTTAACGGCACATTTAAGAGAGAATGAGATGTTAGCTAGAGTAAGGATGAAGTCTTTCTAACATTATCCCCCATACGTAGGTTAGAAAGTAGGGTGTAGAGTAACTTTTAAACTGTCACCCCATTTTGGACCACCCAATTTTAATACTCTGCAATTTCGGCCCTTTCATCAAGCACAGAAACACACAGTAAGGTAAAGGCGAAACTACAGATGCTACATGAAGCAATTATGCTGTACCTGCTGAGAACATCTTCCTTGTTTACTAGCACTTTCTTGAAGCAAAAAAGTTTGCTATGGAGGGAGTCAATGAGTTATACTCTTTTCCTTCAAGACAAGAATAGCAGCGCCATTAAAAGTTTTAAAAATCCATTAGTAAACATCCTTGTTTACATTTGGGGCAATTAATTCTATTTGAGGTGACAAGGCAAGGCCTTCGAGAGGGAACATCTTCAGCCTTTTTGGAACCAGACTGTCTCAGGGAACTGAATTTTGAGCCAAGCCAGTCCTGAAAAGGTAGGCCGTTAAAAAAAATAAAAGTTGACAGAAGAAGAGATCAAACACGTGCTGGCTTTTAAAAGGATGAATACCACTTACGCTATTTACACAACTCACAGAATTAACAAGAAAATTACATACCAGTATGAGTCCTCAGGTGAGCTTTTAAATGAGAAGACTTTGTATAAACTTTTGTGCAGCCTGAAAGGAGGAAAGGAACAACAGCTTGTCATTTTAGAGATCCTTTTGAAATCTTTACATTTGATGATTCAGTGTTTAAAATCAGGCTTTAAAGCAGAAATCTCTCATGCTACTTGAGATTATTTGAAGCTTCAGTTTAAAAAGTTTTAAAGGGCCCGCCCCCATGACCTTATTAAAGGCATAAAGTGATCTGTTTCATGTATCACTTTAATAGGCAAGAACACGGATAATCAAGCCAAGCTACAAATGGAAAATTTGTGTTTATATTCCAGTAGGTGCTTTACTTCAGTGATTTAAGAGCTATTATGGTATATATTTTAAAAAAAAAAAAAAATTTTAATGGCTCTAGAGCTGACAATGCAAAGCCATTATCCCAGATGACTGTAATTTTCTGTCCTCCCACATTTCTTGTTTTTTCATTTAGCCTGTCATGCCGTATCATGTACCGCAGTCAATAAATTTTGCCCTGTATTAATCATAAACTAGCTTTCGCCAGCAACTTGAAGATATATTCCATGTACCGTCATCAATTTATATTCTGGGCCACATACCTCATTCAAGAATGAGCACATGCTCAAAGGCGATCAGAACTATCCCTAACTCTGTCCGGTACAGTCTCATACCTACTGCAAAGGCCAGCTGCCTACAACCCCCACTTCATCGCCAAACCTTATTTTCCTCTACTCTACTTAATCTCTTCCCAGGGAGCTTAATTTAGAATTTAAAACTGCAATGTGTTAGATTGCTATCTTAAAGCAGCTCTGGCATAACTCTAAATGATACATATATTAGAAATTCAAATCTTATTTAATATCAAAGAGAAAAACCGTTTGTGGCAACGTTTTCCAGAATATTCTAGCTATGTTTTTAATACATAAAATAAGCCAGAGATAACTAACTGGTTTACATACCAGGTAAAGCAGAGATGGAACGTGGAAAAAACAAGGTAGGTGATTTTGGAAAAAACAAAGTAGGTGATTTTTTTACCATCACGTACAACTTTCCTATGTAAATTTAAAGCTGGACACTGAGCCAGGCACGCACACAGACACAAACACTCCACGATGCTTCTACCAGGGATGATCACATACCAGGGTAATCGCAGTAGTGGATGCGCCGTTTCTCCAAATCAGGGTTACTCCTTCTATTGTATCTGACAGGTTGGATGTTTTGAGAATTAACTGGCATGGTGGCAGGTAAATTTGGATTGTGAATTGCCAGTTTAGAAGCAATTGTAGCAGCATAGGATGGAGGTGGGGTTAAATTCTGAAGGATCTCTGCTTGTCTATCGGGACTTCCAGGCTCTGAGCTTGGTGGTGATGGGGGAAAGTAAGTGGCCTGCTGTGGAAGAAACTGACTTGGCATTGTGTATGTGCAAGGGGGCATGCCCTGGAATTGTTTCATCGCAGTCTGCGGAACAGCAGAGGTGTGTGTGTTAAGGCCTGCCATGGCAGCTGACATAGAAACGTTAAGAGTGTCCATTACTGCTGTCTGGTTTGTAGAACTGGGCATATCTAGATCCGGTGTATTCAGGAGCTGGTACAGGTGGCCCTGCTGGGGAGGGACAGAAAGATGAAGATCTGGTGTAGGAAGTTCTTGTTTGATGAAAATATTGTTCACCTCTGGAGCTGCGGTCTGGTGTGAGCTGAATATACTGGTGAACTCAGGGAGGGCCTGGGTCGGGGCCGGAGGAGGGGCTGTCGTTTCACTCTGGTGGCTGAAAATGGTAACAGGTTCTGTCTTGATGTGTGTTACACATGGTCTCTGGGATTTGTAGAGGCCAGTTCTCAGGTGAGTGATGTCAGGGAGGAAGACGTTCATGTTGATACTGTAAGGTAACCCTTCACTGTCAGTGAAGAACTGGTCTACAACAGAGGCACTGTCTCGTCTATACTTTTTATGCTCTGGAATTATAGGAACTGGAGGAAGCTGAGGTGTCAGATACTTCTCCATTTCACATCTTGTCTAAAAAAGAAGAGATACAAACACGCATGATCCACCTGATTAATCTCGGGAAGGACAGTCTATGTTTCCCAAACATTCCCAACAATCCCTCCGCCAAGTACTAGGGCAAACTCCTAAGTGTCGCTTGTAAACAGGTTTATTTTGTCAATTGTGCAATAACTGGTTGACCAAAACCTTAGGAAACTCTTTATAACATGAACTTGGTAAAACTGCTTCCCCACTAACCCCCAGACTAAAAGCAAAAGAGGAAAATCAAGGAAAAAAGAAGCCCCCAGAAAACAATCCTTTCTGATGCAACAATCAAGTATCACCCGCAGAACAAGTAGGATTCCCTGCCCCATTACACAGTTAAGTCTGCAATTAAAGGAGGTATTGAAATAGTGCCCCACTACCTCAATTTGGTCTGTCATACTGAAAAACGTGGTTTTAACAAATCTGCAAACTGTAAAAATATCACAAAGTTGGTTTGCTTGTCTGTTTGGCTAGGCCAGATACTTCTGAAATACTTAATATAAAATGTTCTTTGCTTATTTCAACATCTTTTCTTGTTCAATGGAAACTTAAATACAATGTTTTGAGCACAACATAGTATCCACTGAAACAAAACAATTTCACATTCAACATTTGAGCTCAATGTTGATTTTAATCAGCAGATTCTATAATTGGTTAATATGATAATGAAATGTTCCTATTCATATCCCTATCTAAAACAGATCTTTAATTACCTAGGGGAAAATCACTCCCTTGGTAGAATGGTGCTGAGGAGCCCGTGGGTGGGGAGAGGCTTCAGTATCTCTAGCACAGTCATCAGCAAAACATTTATCGAGTCCTCCTCAGTGGGCCAATGCTACATTCCCACTAACTCTGTAAAAAGCTCAGTCATCCCTTATTTTCTTGGTGTCTCCAATGCAGAAAATTGACAACTGAAACAACCAAATAGAGTAGAACCTCTGTAAGGTGACCACCCTCGGTATGTAACAAACCGGTCAGCATGAGGAACTAGGCCTGCAGTACTGATCCGTGCCTGGGGAGCAAGTCCAGTCTACCAAAACCAGGTCAAATTAAGGAGGGGGTCAACTACAGAGGTTCTACCGTAGTTTTCAAATGGTGATTTTTTTTTTTTTTTTAGGATGTAATGGAGCTTGAAACGAGTCTACTCCATTTTTTTTTATAGCTATCTTCTCTCCTAATAAGCTTGATTTTTAAATTTTTTAACCTCGAAAAGACAATTTCAAAAGAAAAAAGAAACCCAACTAAATCGAATGGCTTATACAACTACTAACTGTGGCACTTTAATCGGTGAACAAGACAGTCATTTTTTTGCTACTACTTAATTTCAAAGACGTTTCATCTCAGACCTCGGATCATTCGGTGTGGATGAGGACGGGATTTCCCGGATAGACACGATTTAAAAATAAAAATTAACCCTCTAGTCATGTGAATCACATCTCTGACAAATGCCACTGCCCTCTCACAGTACACCGACACTGGCAAGTCACCCCTCCCCCAGCAGGCGCTGGGTAACAAATACACAATATACCAAAGGGCTACAAACTATTAAACCAAGCGTCTGGAAATAAACCGAACTAAACCCTTTCGTGCACTGCGCTCCCGTGGCGGTAGTGGTTTCTGATTTTAGCTCTTCCAGCTGTTTGCATGTGGGTTTGTTTCCAATTTTTTTTTTCCTTGGGACAGGCTAAAAGTCCCGGGAAGTTTTTTCTGGGCTATATGACTCCCTGCGTGGGCGAAAGAAACAGGCGGTTGCTCTAATTCGGCTGCTGGGCAAGTGTAAAAGCCAACTGCCAGCTTTCAACGCGGCTCCGGGAGGAAATTTACGCGCACACCAAGAAAACACCACCCTGGGTTCTTTTTTTCCTTTTTGTCTTTCTTTTCAAGGAAAAATAAACGCTCTAATACAACCTTAGCTCTTCCAGGTCACGTTTCCCAAACACTGCCCCGCGATAGCTCCTAAAGCAGGTTGAGCCTTGGGGTAGGAATCTCTGGGGGTCCTCTTCCCAGAACCCCAAACTGCGTTTCTACTTAACCCGAGACTCCTGGAGAGGGGGAAAGTCCAAGGCCACAGCACAGCGTTGGGAGAAGTAAAGGCAGAGGTGTAATTTAAGTAAAATTTAGCGTGAGGCACAAGGTTTCATTCCCCAAATGTTAGGAAAACAACTAAGGTGCGCGTGAGCGCCCGCTTCCCTCCTTAACCTCTCCCAGGCGGTCCCGCCCGGGCAGGCTTATCTCGGGCCCTCCCCCCCTCCGCGTGTCCCCCCATTTACTCTCTGCCGAACGCGGTGCCTAGGCCGGGGGACAGGGCGGGGCTGCCCACCCCAGTACCGGCTCCCAGTGCGCCCCGACGCACGCCCCAGCCTGGAGCGGCCCCTGTCGCCCGCGCGTTGCAGCGGCGGGACACGCCCGAACCCCGGAGGGAGGCGGAGGGAGGGGAGCGGCTCTTCCTACCTGGACCAGCTCTTCGGTGTGCAGCCGCGGTCCGGCGGCAGGCGGCGGGGCCGCCTGCGGAGGCTGCGGCGGCGCGGGCTGAGCCTGCGGATGGTGGTGCGGGTGCTTCATTTCCTCGCCAGGAAAGAGCGCCGCATCGCGGGCTGGGTTCGCGGCGCCCAGCACGGGCTTGAGCTGCGCGAACACGGGCTCGTCTTGCGGGGCCGGCGGCTGGGGCACAGGTCCCAGGCGGGCGCTCATGGTCAGCACCCGCGTAGCCATGGGCTCTTGGGGGGCGCGGGTCGAGCGCACTTCCCACCTCGCCCACGCTGGCTTGGCCGGCGAGCTCTGTACGGGGCTTTGGACGGAGGAGGGGAGGCTCCGGGCAGACCCTTCAGCCAACAGCAGGCACAGTTTTCGAAGGCGCGCACGAAAAGCAAAACTCTTCCGCTCCGCCACGCGTAAACGCCAACGTACTCCGGGCGGCCACTTTCTCCCACCCCGCCCCGCCGCGCTCCTGCACTCGCTGGAACCCGCTCCCACCACTCCGACCTCAGCGAGCGAGCTGCTAGCGCGCGTACCTGCCCCGCGACTACTGACACTTGACGCCCGCCTCTATTTCACCAACTCCGGGTGGGCGGAGCCCTCCGGCCTGACTGGCAGTGCTGTCGCGAATCGCAAGGCCCCGAGGCCGGCCGAGCCGAAGCGGCCAGCCTATGAGAAGGGAGAAATTCTCCCAAAGCCCCGCCTCCTCTGGGCCGACCGCACCCCTTTCAGGCCACGAGCTTCGCGCGCAGGGCGGCCGCGCAGTTTGTACACAACTTCTCTGACAGATTGGGCTGGCGGAGCCGGGGGCGGAGGAAGGAGAGGAGCGGGAGGAATCTAGGAAGTGGGGGAATTAGGGTGGAGACGCTGGGGGGAAACCTCTGCGGACTGTTGCTGCCAGGATTAGGGAGAAAAAGAGATTGCACGTCTTAGGTGTTGTGCAAGGACCTGAAACTCAAAAGCTGAAACCCCGAAGGCAGCTAGGTGGGGGCGCTCAGGTTTTTAGAGACTTTAATGAGTGTGTACTTTTAAGTACACAAAATGTACTTTTCTTTAGCGCAAAACTAGGGGCGGCGTGATAAACAAATTTAAAACAGTTCCTGGTATCTTTAGCAGTGCACGTATCCATTTAGCAAATCAAATTCGGAATGTCCTGGAAAAAAGGTTTAAGGTGCTTTCATAAAAGCCTGGATTTTTTTCCTTTCAGTATTTAAATAGCTAGAAGTTTTCTACCTTCTCCTATCCGTGGAAGGGGGGATGGGCCATACGAATTCTGAAGGTTTTAATATTTAAACCATGTTGATTCTAGCCGAAGCACGGGATCTAATTTAAGCACGACTAGCTCAAATGTGTATTTAAATAGACATTACATCTTTGACTTATTTTTGCTCGCACTGTATTTTCAAAAAATGTACTTTAATATTTACAAAACAGAAACATAGCACATTCCCTTAACACTATGACACCTTTTCCTACGAAAAGACAACCGAAGACAAACATTAGACACGCAGCAGTTCTGGAAACTGGGAATCCAAATTTGTAGGAGGTAATAGCCAAATATATTGCCGTCCATTTACTATGTTGTTGTACTAGGAGGGTGAATTTTTTTGCCAGCGAGCACCTAAGGAAACCACTTCCCTTAATCCTTAATGTTCTTGTACATGATTTTATCTGGCTTATTGGGAAGCTGGAACAATAAACTGCTATAAAAATGCCTGCAATATTACTACATATGTGTACATGTTGACAGCACACTATACTATTAGATGGGTTTACATACACAACATCACGTCACAGTAAAACAGGTTTAAAAAGGGGTTCTTAGAAAAAACATCCACTTCGAAGAATGTATCTATCAGAGTTATAGATCTCATTTTCATTGTGTGGATTAAAAATTAATATGCACATAGAGTATTAGATGTTTTTATTCTTAGAAAAGGTAAAATTAGGCTGTAAACTAGATTTTTCTCCTTTTCCTTTTTTCCCTGTTAATACCTGATTCATTTTTATAGCTGTGATTGCTGCTTTCAGAGAAGAGGTGATGACTACTTTCACGTTAGGAAAGTATTCAGTAAGTGCTTTTGCAAATTTTTTTCTAACCAAACAATCCCATGCTGTCAACCTTCATCTTTAAAAAGCTATCCTGGTTTTCTGTAATGTTAAACCCAATCATGGAATTGATTATCTTAGAAACAGATTATAGAACTGATATGGGATTTAATGTAACTTTTTTTTTAAATAATGAACTTTGAAAGGTTTTTAGTTACTTAATGCTGATAACATCAAACCTGAAGGTGGTATAGATAATTCTTAATAGACATTTTGTACTCTTTTAACTTTTAGCTGAGTCTAACTCAGATTTAATACAACTTAGTATCCATCTGTATTTTACTATGTTTTTAAATCTATCTAGACCTTTCCTTTTGTCTTTCTTTTCAGCAGAATTTCAGTGAACTCTGGATCTCAACCTAGTGTAAACCTAAGTTTCCACTGCAATAAAATCCATTTATTTTACTGGAAATGCTTCTATAATCTCATACCAGTTTTTTTTTTAACAGACTTTCATTCACAAATGTTTTTCCACTACAAAAAAACTAAAACAAAGCAAAAAACCCCACACAACTATTTGATGTTTAATATTTTTATAGTCTTATTAATGTTTTCACATTTCTACTTTTCTCAATAAATATAAATTTGAAGCTACCCAATGCATTTACAATTAAAAAACTGAATAAATTCTTGTTTTGCTCAAGTACAATAGCATTTATTTAAATTTCATTTCTAGCAAAAAGATTCATGAAATAGGGCTGCCACTTTTAAGTAATGGATTCTCTGAACTGCCCAGCTTTGCAATCTCACAGAAAATGACTAGCTTAGCACTGTACAATAGTACGGAAATTGGAAAGTAATCCTTTTCAGAGACATTTGCCATCGGTTCTGAACATATAAAGAACATGTTCGACCAAGCTTCCTTGCTGTTGCTCTTAACACGAATGCTTCAGCTGCAAACCTGTTTCATCAACTTAGCCTTAGCCAAAAGGGTTAAAACTTGATAAATATTTTTCAAATGTTCCAGGTTCCCCATTGGCATGAAGCCAGACAGTATGAATGGACAGACCCTCAATTACTTTGAACTTTCTAGTTCTTTGCATTCCTTCCTGCTTAGTAGTGCTGTACCATTAGGGAAGATAGGAGAAAACAAAAAACAAATGTCAGGTTTCAGAAATCAATTAGTGGCCTGGCAGTGGTGTGTTAACTGAACTGTGCCAAAACAGGGCAATCGGAGGGAAAGAAATAAAAATGTTGAGTAGTCAAGTTAGGTAGGAGGGTAAGCGCAGAAGCAGTGTGCATGCTTAAGTCCTTAGTCACCGGGCAACACAGATTTAGTCTTAGAATAAACCCTAAGTGTCACTATCTTTACGGGAATAAATACGGCTGATGTGCGGGGGCTGGACAGGCATTCAGGAATGGGGGAGGGGGGGCTGAAGAAGGCAGTGGAAAAAATAGATAAATAGCTTCCGAATGATGAGATGAGGGAAATATGAAGCTATCACAAGGGCAATGTTCACATGAAGACACGGGAAGAGAAATATCTACATTCAGTGGTTTGGTAAAAACGTCAGGAAGAGCTAGAAATGAAGGCATCTAGAGTATTACAGCCAACAAAACTGTATTCATGTAGCCTGGGAAAACATTTATAGACTATCCCATTTCTGTAAAATTTCAGAAACAAGTTTACCGAGTGATACGGGGCCACAGAAAAAGCAGAGAAATAAACACAGAGAAATAAACACTCCCTTTTATAAGGGAGTACACTCTTCTCTAGGGTAAGATTATTTAATGAAAAGTGACTTATTGATATTCACCCATTGTCTACCCACTGTGAGAGCCCGTATCAATGAAAATATAAAGCGTAATTATTGTCCTCTGAAACATTTCACATCCTTAATCTTCTTCTTTTTTTCATTAAGGACAACTACTTGAAGCCGCACATCAGAAGAAAGGCATTAAGGAAATAACACAATAAATAAGACCTTTCAAATGAGATTAGTCAGAATTCAAACTATTTTGACTCAAAAGATAAAGAGATAGGAGAGAAGATGCCCTGGTTCATTGCTTTTGTGATGAGAAAAGATGCAAGGTAACCAGGAATATACCCTTCTTTTTT